CCCAAACCCAAACCCAAACCCAAACCCTTTAAGACGTGGATCAGCCCGAGTTTAATCTGTTTTTGTTATCTGATCCACGACCCCATCGAAGATGACTTGTCTGGTCCATGGTGGTGGTCACTCAGATACACGAGTGAACATACGCACCTAAGCCTCGTGATCTGTGAGAGAAGGCCCCTCAGAACCACATGTTGACACCACGATCTCCTCGATGGAAGAGACCTTTTCTTTTTCTCCCAAGTTCCCCAGGGGAAGAAAAATAAAAGTTAATTTAATTTTTAAACGCCTTTTTATAAGTGACTAGATAAATAATCCCGAAGAAATAAGATTGGGCTAGTGAAAATAATTATACTTCTCACGAAAAAACATAAATAAGTTCTGAAAAGGAAATCTTAATAATTGCAAGTTAGAGAAAGATCAAAAAACTTATAAAAAAGAAGTTGTCCTTATAGAATGATATGTAAGTAGAATTCTATTTTCTCCAAGAACTTCTCTTTATAAATTATTATGTTTAATGAATATTTAGATATTTATTATCTTTAAAATTTTAGAATTAAATACCTGTTGATTTATAAACTTTAAATGAATGATATTGAGTCATAATTAATGAAAAACTAACTTCATCGATACTTTGATTATATTCAAATTAATGGTAATGGAAATTGATAAGATCTAGATGTTTATAATACTTAAGCCTTAAATATAAAATAAATAATAAAAACATATTGAATAAATCAAATAGTTAAGGAAAGTATTTTTTTCTGTATTTCATAAATTTTCAGACATTGATATATTAACTTAATTTAGATGTTCAAAAATAATAAAATTCGTAAATTATTGAAATATTTAACTTTTCTCATGAAAAAAATATTCATATAATTATGTGTAATAGCTCACACTTAATCATCATTAAGATTTATATTTATTGCTTTTTTAAATTAAACAATTTAGATAGGATAGAAGTTTGCTTATTTTAGAAGTAATAAACGTTAAAATGATAATAATTTCTCAAAATTTTGAATTTAATTAAAATATTTTATAAGACCTAAATCTTTATACTAGCTAATGCATACTCATTCTCTCCTAAATATAATTAAATAAGGCTTGATATCTTACCGATGACAATCTTCGTAAATTAATTAATATCCAAAGTTTTAAATTTAATGATTAAATAACATTAAATTTAAGCTCTTTTAACTACTGGACGAAGTAAAATCATTAAATTGTATTTTTAGTACGGAAGAAAAATCAATAGCTTGTTATTGATTAGCTTCCAAGTCTTAAACTGATAAAGAAAAATTATATTATAAATCCAAATAAATTGAAACAATAAAACTTGAAATATTTCAATCAAAATAATAATTTAAATGAAAACTTAATAATAAATAAAAATTCCATTATATACAACAAACATTTATATCAATTTCATTAAATATTAGTTGTATATTTCAATTTTCATATTTTTATTCTTTATATATCTATTTTCCATAGTTCAGGCCTTATTTTACCCATATGCCAACTTTTTTGCCTTTTTCATATAAACCAACATCAATGATTTACGAATAAGTATTAAACTCTTCAATCAGTTCAATCCATCTTCCTATCTTAATCCCATAACCTCCCTCATCATATTATCCACCACCACTAAAACAAAGTAACATAATATAAGTCACATCTATTTAAAATCCTGCTCATCCGGCTTTCTATATAAAATATCCCATCTTCCAACTTTGTTACCTTTTAAATATTCACCTTAATATGTTATTTAATAATCTCCCTTAAATCCATAACTCAAATCAATCCATCTTCCGTTCTTCATCCCATCACCATCCTAATCAAATGATCCACCACCTCTAAAACAGCTCAACATAATATCAGATACATCTATTTAAATACTTTTTCATCATGCTTTCTATAAAGAATATCCCATTTACCCACTCTTTTACCATTTTTGTATTCACCATTCTCAGTGATTTATGAATAATTATCAAACACATCATTCAACTCAATCCATCTCCCAATTTTATTACCATAATCTTCTTCATTATAAGACCCACCACCACTAAAATATTTGATCATATTATGATTTACATCTTTTTAAACTCTTTTTCATCATGCTTTCTATAAAAAAGATCCCAACTACCTACTTTCTTTCCATTTTTATACTCACCATGATATGTCAGCTAACAATTATACCTAAAGTCGTCATTCAACTCACTCCATATCCCAATCTTAAAGCCATTACCTAATTCATCATAAAATCCACCACCACTAAAACATTGAAATATAATTTATTTTACATCTATTTAAATTCTTTCTCATCAAATTTTCTATACAAAACACTCCAAATACCAAATTTGTTACCATTTTTATATTTGCCTCTATAAGTTATTTAGGAATAGTCATTAAATCCATCCTTCAATTCAATCCACATCCCAGTCTTACTTCCATTATTATAAGATCCACAACCACTAAATAGTTGAAAAATATTATTTATTACAACTATTTAAATTCTTTCTCATCCTAATTCCTATAGAAAATATTCCAGATACCTACTTTTTTGCCATTTTTATATTCTCCATTTAAAATTACTTAAGAATAATTTTTAAATCCATCCTATAATTCAATCCATCTTCCAACCTTAACACTATCCTCTCCTTTTTCATAAGATCCACCTCCGCTAAACTCAATTAATTATATGATGATTTATACATCTATTAAAATTTTTTCTAGTATAACCCTTTAAACAAAATATCCCATCTACCAATTTTTTTTCCATTTTAAAATTCTCCATTATAAGTTACTTAAGATTGCTAAAAAAAATCGTCACTTAATTAAATCCATCTACCAATCTTAATCCCATTTCCTTCTATGTCATATGATCCGCCACCACTATTTAATAAATAAGTATATTACATCTCTTTATCATTATATAAATAGCTCCAAATTGCTTTCCTAAAGCCATTCATATACTCTCCCACTTCAAATACCTTAGCATGACTATTAATAATAAATTTTGAGTTACTTACAAAAGTTTTTTATTATTTCCTTCCATAAGCCTTATTTTTTTCCGTCTTCAGAGTACTGACCACCTACATTTTTTAAATTTTCCTCTTTCCAAGTGGCTGTCCATCTTCCTATTTTTTAATTATTTTCTCCAAAGTTTCCTAACCATTAAAAAAATTGAATTTATTCAAAATTCTGAAATATTTAATATTTATTTGTTGTGTCTTTTACTTAATCACTATTAAATTTATTAGATTTCAACAATATTACATTCGTAAAGTTGCTCCATCTCTACAATAATTTATTTTGTTATTTTTAGTCAAGTTGATCTGGATTTATATTTTTTTTGGAGGAAATTTTGAGTAATCCCAAACCAATGTGGATCCATCAAATTCTAACTAAGTGTTAAAATCAGCAAAATAATTCATATAATAATAATTAATTAAAATAACCTAGAAATATCAAGCTTAATTAGTTGTAATTAGAATTTAGAATAATGTACTCTCAAGAGTAATCACTCCTAATTTGATCTAATAACAATAGAAAAAGTTTTATGCTCTGATTAGAAAATGAATTATTCCCCTTTACTTTGCTTTGGATATTATTAGAAATTTTACTTTAGAAAAATAAATTCATCTCAAAAAATTTTGTAAATTTAATACAACTACAAATGATTATAATCTAGATGATATGATTATTCTTTTTAGTAGTAAATAATACAAATAAAAATACTTAAGATTAGCAATTAATTTGAAAGTATTGAAATAAAACAATATTATTAAAGCAAGCTTATTTTTAAATCATTTCACACTAATTATAAATTAGTTTTCAATCTTAACATATTTTAAAGTAGAATATGTGAAATTCAATCACATCCTGAGTGTGCTTCAAAATTAGACTAATATTCAGTAAAACTTAATTCTAATAAGTTTAACATAAGGGATAAAAAAACTAACATAAATGTCATTTCTTTTTAATTAAATCTAAAAATTAATCAATTAAATTAGGGATTTTATAGACTTTATTTTGATAAAATTAAATTGAAGATTGTATACATTAAAAGAAAATTTTCTTGCATTTACTTTTTAATCCTTACTATTTTCTATTCTTTCCTCATATATTTACATTAAATATAGAGGGCATATTGTAATTACAGCAATAATTTATGTGTAAATTTACTTTTAACCCAGCTTAGTAAGATAATTGATTTAGTTTCAGAATCATAAAATTTCAGGTGTAACTTGATCTAAGCCAATTTTGCTTATAAATTTGATACATCTTTTCATGAAAGATGGGTAATATAATATATTAGGTTCAACTTATTTACAAAAGGGGAAAAACTTTTTTTCTGAGTATAAATAAACCTTAGGCTTACTTTTGGGAGATATTTCAGATCATACCAAAAGAACCTGTTGTTTTATTAAAAATTATTGATGAATATTTAATAACTTTAAAAAGGCTCTCTAATTTATTTATTCGCTTATTCTATCAAGAATTAAACCTTATATATTAAACTTTTAAATCTTATAGATTGAATCTCCTGGATTATTAATAATATTGATTTGTGGAGCTTCAATTATTTTGAGAATTGGACTTAAAATGGAATTTGGATTTAAAAGCATTTTTAATCCTTACAAGTTATTTAAAAAAACTTTCTCATAAAAACATAAAGCAATTTGAGACAATATGCAACTCCTTATAAATTTTATATAACAAATTAGGATATTCAAAATACAGTTTTGGCAATAAAAAGGAAAAAAGAGATACCTCAAATATGAATGTTTCACCCTTGCTTTCTTTTTTTCCTTTAAAATCGACATGCAATAGGAAGTTATAAAGAAAAAGATAATTGCATCTAATTTATATTGAGATTATGATTAAGTTCAAACTTTCGAAAATTAGCAAACTGATTTTATATTATTATAACTCAAATTTTCATCAGATGTATTTTTCTAATATATCTAAGCGCTCACAGTGGTTGTTAAGGAAAAAACTTTTTATAAAATAGACTCACTTCCTCTATTATTTCATAAGTTAAGTCTATTATTAGGCAGAACTTTTAGGTTCGTTGACCTTTTACTCGTTTTCCGCTTCGGAAAACTATAAATTCGTTTGTACTTCTTACAGAGTTGCTCTAGCTGGAACTCACAATGACTAAAGCCTTGTCAATTAAACCCCCTATGTCCTAATATATTAAGTTTAAAGTATTTCTATTTAAAAAAAGCATTAATTTATAACAATATATTAGTATATATATTAATATATTATCAATTAGGATATTAGATATATATTTATATATTAGTATTATAAATCTTAATAGATAGAAGATTTAGTATTAGATCTTAGTAGTATTAAATGTTAATTTACAATATATTAGTATAGAGATTAATTAGTATCATAGTAGTGGTGTTTATAAAATTTAGAGATATTAGATAATATATATTAGTATTATTTATATTAATCTTAATAGATAGTAGTATTAGATATTAATTTGTCAGTATTCTAAATAATCAATACCATGTGTTCTGTAATATATTTTTATGAAGTTATTGATTAATTTTTAATTCAATTTATCAATCTTAAAGAAAATAATTAAAATTAAATGGGTATTACTACAATGAAATCCTAAAAAGAATGTTAACCAAAGAACTTAGATTCAGACAATCAAAAATTAGAGCCATAACATTTGGAAATTGAGTAATCAGATACTAATAAAGCTTAATAAAATAAAATTAAACTTAAAAGGAATATTAATTAAGATAACTAATTTTTATATTATTAGAATGGAGAGGCCATAAGAATGTTATAAATAAATTATTATTATAAGAGAAGAATTTAGACCCAATCAAACTTAATAAGAAGTGTTAAATAATTTGGAGTAGATAAAATTTCTTTTTTGGCATGGAAAATATGGCCAGAATGGAAAGAAAACTGGTTATTGGTATGCTAGTTGGAATGGTTCTGTACTGAATTCAGTTGGCGGATACTATAAGGAAGGATAAAAACATGGAAGATGGAATCAATTATCCTAAAATTATCACAAGTAAGTATTTTTTTTTAATCAATGAAGTTCCAACAAAGTTTATGAAATTGGAGAATATTGTTATAATCGTAAAATTGGGCATTGGAAATATTTGTTTAATGATAATTTGATGTAAATTATTATTTCATAATTAGTGGAGGTGGATAATATGATGAAGGGTGTTTTGAGTTTAAGGTTGGGAAGTGGATTGAATTGGATGATGGATATAACCAATAGAAATAAGTAACGTATGATGGTGAATATATTAATTGTAAGAAAGTTGGCATTTGGAATATTTGGTTTGATTAGCATGGGATTAAGAATAATATGTAACTTTAGATATAGAAAATAAAATTACTAGTGGTGCTGGGGTTTATGACCATGGAGTTAGAAATGGCTATTGTATTGAGCTTAGTGATGGATTTAAATTTTAGTCTGAAATAATCTATTAAGGATTATATTAAAATGGGAAAAGAGTTGGTAGATGGGATATTAAGTATATGGATAAATAAATGTAAGTATTTTATATATTTTTAAACTATAAAAATACAAAATTAGTGGTGGTGGATTATATGTTTAAGAAGGGAAAGGAGTTAAAATTGGTTAATGGATTGATATTAGCGATGGATTTAAATTGGATTCTCAAATAACTTACATTGGAGAATACAATAAATAAGGGAAAAAAGTTGGTAAATGGGAGATTAAATTAAATGGGGCAAATGATTTTGATGAAGAAGATTACAATGATATTTAAGGCAGAAATATAACAATGTAAATATTAAATATAAGGACCAAAAAATAGTGGCGGTGGATTATATGATTAAGAAGGGCAAGGAGTTAAGATTGGCAAATGGATTGATATCGTTAATGGTATTGAATATGGTTCTTAAGTAATTTATAATGGGTAATATTAAAATGGGAAAAAAATTGGTAGATGGGTTATATATTAGAAGAGTGTATCAATGTAAGGAAAATATTAGGAAATGTAATTATAAATAATTATCAAATGTCATACACTTATAGTGGTGGTGGATTATATGATTAAGAAGGGCAAGGAGTTAAGATTGGCAAATGGATTGATATTAGCGATGGATTTAAATTGAATTCTCAAGTAATTTATGTTGGAGGATATAAATATGGGAAAAAAGTTGGTAGATGGGAAATTTAGTGTAGAAAATCGAAGGAAACGGAATTTAAAAAGATGTAATTATTAAAGGAAATAATAATAAATCTTTAGTGGTGTTGGATAATATGATGAAGTTGGTCAAGAAGTAAAGATTGGTTAATGGATTGATATCGATGGGAACTATAGTGATAATTCATTAGTAACTTATCATGGTGAATATAAAAATGGAATAAAAGTTGGTAGATGGGATTTTTGGTTTAATTATAATGATCTTGCAGAGGAAAGAAAAAAGATGTAAGTTTATTTATTTAATAAATAACTAAAATATACCTGATTTAGTGGTGGTGGATCTTATGATGAATCAGATTAAGGAGTTAAAACTGGGCATTGGATTGATATTAGTGAGGAATTTGCAAATTCTTTCTAATTAACATAAAATGGTGAATATAAACAAGGTAAAAAAGTTAGTAAATGGGATATTTGGTTCAAGGAGGAAACAGATAAAAGGGGGTTTTTTTTCATGGATCTAAATTTTAAGAATATTGATTTCAAGATAGATAGAAATAAAAAAGAAAACAAAATAATGTAATAAATCATTACAAATAATTATATAGTGGAGGTGGATAATATGATAAATAAAATCAAGGATTTAAAGTTGGGTTATGGATTGATCTAAGTGATTAATTCAAAAAATATGAACAGGTATTATATAAAGGAGAATATATTAATGGAAAAAAATCTGGTGTCTGGAAAGTATTGAAGAAAGATTAAAAAGAAAACGATGACGAATTTAAGTTAGATAAAGAAATTTAATATGATAATTGAATTATTGTAAGTACAAAAAAAGTAATAACTTTATCTAATATATTGTATTTTTCAGATTTTTTATAATTTTTTGATTTAAGAGCTCTACATTTTGTTATAACCTATATATTATATTATTAAAAGATTGTTCTATTTTCTTAAATATTTCATAATTCCTATCTTGGCCTTTAAACTTATTTTAATTAATTTATTACTTAATTTAAGTTTGTTTGTTTTGACTATTTAAAGCCTAAAGATTATTATTAGAAACACAGATTGTCACTATCTGAAAGGATCTAAGGTATTTAAAAATATTAAAAAATTAACTTTATATAAATGGTTTCATTAATATAGACATTTAAAAATAAATGTTAATTCTTGTCACATAGAACTTCAATTAAGTTAATGGACATAGAATACTTTAAGTCATTTTTATTTTCGGAATATGAAAATGAATTATATAAATATTCATCTCAAAAATAAATTAATGTGAAAAACTTTAATTTCTTTATAATTCTGTCCAACATCTAATTGGATTCTGATTCTAAAACATTTTAAGCAAGGATTATTGAAAAAGGGACTATAAAAGTTTCTTATATATATAATAGATTTGCATAGATATAATTACTACACAAACAAAAAAATAATTTTGAATTTAAAGCTCCCATTTATATATTGAATTTATAATGATAGATATGGAAAAGTTATATTGGTCAAGAATATTATTTTTTACTTCCATCAGTCTATGCCAGCCTAGGGATCATTTAAACAATTTGTTCTCTATTACCTAACTTTAAAATTATTCTAAAAAGTAATGAATTTATCACTTCAATACCTTAAAAGATTCAAACTACTTTTAAAGTATCATAATAAAATTCCTTAATAAAAATTTTTCAATCATTAAGAAAATTAATAATGGTTAACAACCAGAACTAATTTTTACCACTATTAATAGATTTATATTACTATAAGTTACCTGAAAAAATAAAATTTTTACAATTATAAATGATTAGGATTTACGATCAAAACACAGATGAAGGATTTCCGATGTAAAAATAAAAACACTTATAATAATAACAATATATATAAAATATATTCCCTTTTCTGTATCTAAATGTTTAATTCATTATTATTATTATAAAATTTATTAATCAATTTTTGATAATATTATCATATATTGAAAATCCTTATTAATTAGTTTAAAGCATAATTTTCTCCTTTTTAATTGTATCTTTTTTTTCTATAACAACTAAATATCATAAATTAACAAGACTTATTAAGATTAGTATATGAAAGATTTATAAATACACTATTTATTGGAATCTAGGATTTGATTTATATCTATGCAGTTGATACATCTATTAATATCACATTCATCACATGGATCTTAACACTTTGCACATGTGATGAGGCCATTAGAATAATAAGTGGATTTGCAAACACATTATGATATGTTATTAAGTTCATGATTAGTATCTAAACATTTTAAGCATTTAGAAGTATTATTGTATTCTATTTATTATTTCACAAGTTTAACTTGGCTATTGACAAGGTATGCAAAAGTAATTATCATCAAATATCATTCAAGACTCACTTTGGCAAGACTCAGTTTATTAATGTATTGTATCTTTACAAGTAACACATTTATTTATTGTATCTACACAATCTAAACATGGCAATTAACATTTGATGCATGTGATATCATCAGTATCCAAAATCCAACCTGTTTTACATACAAATAAAAATGAATATTTGCTATTGATTACTATCAAAACATGATAAACAGTGATTTTCATTCCATTTATAAGTTGCATGAACTTAAAAATTCTTAACATGTTTAAGAATCGAACTAAAAATAACCATATAAAGATTCAAATTTTTATTGTGAATTCTAATTTAATGTAAAAGTTAAGACGTAATCAGTACAATAATTACCATTATTTTCACACTTTGAGAATGGTGCCTAACAAAATTAACATTGATTTGATCCATCAATATAACTTCCATCATTACAAAAACATTTAAAATTGATAACTGTTTAATTAATTTCAATGCATGAAGTACAATCATATGAATTTTTGACGCAAGCAATGCATGAGGAAGTCTAAGGAAGAAATTATGAATTTTAAAGGTATTTGGCTACTTCACATGATCTAAAGTACTACTTGTACCTAAATATGTCTTACAAGTAGCATTCCAGACTGAGCAAATAGATCCTATAATAAGATAATGATGTACACAAATTTAACATTTTATAAACTTAAATTAAAGATAAATTGCTATTTCATATATGTTGACATCTTAAATACATAATTAGATATGCAAGTAGCACAGTAAGTAGGGCAGGTTTAACAATTCCAAAAAGTATGGTCTAAGATAAAATTTATTATAAATTGCATTTTGAGAACACTCTAAAGAGCATAATATCACCAGATTCTTAAGAATTTTTCTTAAAATTACACTATTTCAAAGAATGTATTTTTAATTTTTGAATCATTTTATTCTAATTTAATGACAATATAATTTGTCTATTTTCCTTTTCAAGTTATAAGACCATTTCTAAATTATAAATATTTAAACATATAGTCAACAATATCTTATTCTGAAACTAGAGAAATTAATGTATATTATTGATCATTTGAAAGAGTCTAGAACTTAAGTATTTGAATATTATTTAATTTAGAGTATCAAATTTAATCGGAATGAAAAGATGAAATTTATTACTATCTTAATTTTTTATTTTCTTATATTTTCTTGTATATTTATTGATATGATAGTCATTATCAAATATTAATGAAGATCATTCTCAAAAGCAATCAATTTATGTTATAATATCAAACCTTTTATTCAACATTCAGAANGTGATTTTCATTCCATTTATAAGTTGCATGAACTTAAAAAATCTTAACATGTTTAAGATTCGAACTAAAAATAACCATATAAAGATTCAAATTTTTATTGTGAATTCTAATTTAATGTAAAAGTTAAGACGTAATCAGTACAATAATTACCATTATTTTCACACTTTGAGAATGGTGCCTAACAAAATTAACATTGATTTGATCCATCAATATAACTTCCATCATTACAAAAACATTTAAAATTGATAACTGTTTAATTAATTTCAATGCATGAAGTACAATCATATGAATTTTTGACGCAAGCAATGCATGAGGAAGTCTAAGGAAGAAATTATGAATTTTACAGGTATTTGCCTACTTCACATGATCTAAAGTACTACTTGTACCTAAATATGTCTTACAAGTAGCATTCCAGACTGAGCAAATAGATCCTATAATAAGATTATGATGTACACAAATTTAACATTTTATAAACTTAAATTAAAGATAAATTGCTATTTCATATATGTTGACATCTTAAATACATAATTAGATATGCAAGTAGCACAGTAAGTAGGGCAGGTTTAACAATTCCAAAAAGTATGGTCTAAGATAAAATTTATTATAAATTGCATTTTGAGAACACTCTAAAGAGCATAATATCACCAGATTCTTAAGAATTTTTCTTAAAATTACACTATTTCAAAGAATGTATTTTTAATTTTTGAATCATTTTATTCTAATTTAATGACAATATAATTTGTCTATTTTCCTTTTCAAGTTATAAGACCATTTCTAAATTATAAATATTTAAACATATAGTCAACAATATCTTATTCTGAAACTAGAGAAATTAATGTATATTATTGATCATTTGAAAGAGTCTAGAACTTAAGTATTTGAATATTATTTAATTTAGAGTATCAAATTTAATCGGAATGAAAAGATGAAATTTATTACTATCTTAATTTTTTATTTTCTTATATTTTCTTGTATATTTATTGATATGATAGTCATTATCAAATATTAATGAAGATCATTCTCAAAAGCAATCAATTTATGTTATAATATCAAACCTTTTATTCAACATTCAGATAATAACTAATTCACAAATATAAGTCAGAAATTTTTTTCTAATAATACTATTCATTAAGCACACATAAATGTTATTTAAAGAGATTTTTTTTTAGGAAATATCTTATTATTTAGCAAAAGTCAAATACTCCATTCATATATATTTTATAGTTTTTTTATTAAATTTATATCTTTTTTAATTTATGGATCTAATGAATCATCAGGATTTGAATCTTCCAAAAATACTTCATAATTAACTCAAATGACTATTTTTATTATATGGATGATCTATAGGATAACGAATTAAATTTTTGGTGGTCTAAAAGATAGTCCATTGGAATTTCAAATTAAAAATTATACAGGTCACCTGAATAAAAAGATCTCTAAGATTATAGTATTGTTGCCTTTCCATTTATAAATATCGTAATCATCAAGAAGTTTCACAAAATAATTTTTTTGCTAAACCTTTCATAACATCCTCCAATTTTTTTAAGAGACATCTAAAATATTTATGATATTGCCATTAATATCAATATATAAATTTCTAGCTAACTGAGAACTATGATATAGATATAATCAAAATATCTTAATAAAGTATAAAATATTTATTGAGCCAAATTTCTATCATAATTAGAATTTTATAAAAAAGAATATCTCTCTAACCTGTTCCAAAATGATATCAATCATTTAGAATTATTCAAAAGAAGATTTCTATCTATTTTAGAAATGAAAAAATTATTAAGATATAGATTATCCAATATGAAGAATATCAAAACTTGCCTATCAATATAAACTTATCTCATCATTTATAAATAAATTTAGAACTTTAAACATTTTACAGAATTATAATTTCTAATAATAAGAAATATATTTTAACTTCTTTAAGAATTAATTTAAAAAAATAATAATATACAATAATCCATCCCCCTCTTAATTAATTTATTAAAACCAAGTATTACATTTATTTATCTTTATAAATTAATTTTATAGGAAAATATTTAAAATTGTTTTGTATTCAACAATACAAAGTTTTTTCCAACATATGTTATGAATCTAAGCATCTTGTGTATAAGGCTTAGATTAATTAAAATTCAGAATAGTATGTTGTTAAAATGGAAAAATCTCCTTGAATAGGTCAGTTAGAAAATGAAATCGAAATGCTGTATAAATTGATCGGAGTTGCAGGATTTCCAAAAATAGCAATAATTTGAATCAACGAAGATTAAAAAAGTAGTATTTATTTTAATTGATCAGATGCTTTTTTGATTGGGTAATTCAGAAAATATAAAAAATTTGCTTGAATAATAATGATAATGATGGTGTAATATAGTGCGTCACAACTCAG